CCTTATTGCGGTGGCGGGTGGCTTTCCGCCCCCCCTCGGCCTCCGTCGGGGAGGATGCGGGTAGCGAAGCCCGGTGGCGGTCCCCAAGCCGGTGGCGTCCCCGAGCCGGCTTCGTTCCCCCTGCCTCTCTTCCAGCCTGCTCGCCGTCCCTGCGTGACCTTGGCATGTCCTTGTCCCCGTTGTCCTCGTCCCCATCCTCCTCCCGCCCGGCATCGTGGAGGGGTGGGGGCATCGTGACTTGGCCCCTCGTTTTGGGGGGGAGGACCTTCCGCTCGCTCTTCCCGAGGTGGCGTGGGGAAGGTGGCCCTGGGACGGTGGCCCTGCCCTCCGGCGATGGCAGTCCCCGGGGACTCACAGCCCCGAGCCAGGGCGCTGCCACAAGTGGCACGTGAAGTGGCATCCTCGAACCCCATCTTTGGTGGCTCCTGAGGAAATTGGGGCTTTCGTGGTCCCCAAAAAAACCAACGTGGGACTAGTCCCGTGGCCCCTCGGTGCAAACCGTGTCCCCAGAGGTGCCACCAAGCCAGACTCATGGGGATGTGCGGTGTCCCATGATGGCTCTGGTGCCTGTGTCCCACCTTGGTGGCCACCCCAGGAGGGTTTGCAAGCCCCCGGCACTGTCATCAGATGATGGCACCAGGATGGCACCAGGGTGGCCTCGCCAGGATGACAGCACTGGGACTGGCCGCACCGGGATGGCAGCACCAGCATGGCCTCACTCAGATGATGGTACCAGGACTGGTCTCGCTGGGATGGTGGCACTGGGACCAGCCTCAACGGGATGGCACCAAGATGGCCTCGCCAGGATGGTGGCACCTGGATAGCCTCACTGGGACTGGCCGTGCCAGGCTGGCACTGGGATGGCCTCGCCAAGAGGGCACCAGGATTGACCTCACCAGGACAACACTGACTGGCCTCACTGGGATGGTGGCACTGGGATGACCTCACCGTATTGGTGGCACCAGGATTAGCCTTGCTGGGACAGTACTGGAACTGGCATTACTGGAACTGGCCTCGCTGGGATGGCACCAGGATGGTCTTACTGCGACTGGCATCTCCAAGACACCGCTGGGACTGGTCTTGCCAAGACTGGCCTCACTGGGACAGCACTGGGATGGCCTCGTTGGGATGGTGGCACCAGGACAGCACTGGGATGGCCTCACCATGAGTGCACTGGGACTGGTTTTGCTGGGATGGCCTTGCTGGGATGGCATCAGGATGGCATCAGGATGGCCTGGCCATGATGGCACCAGGGTGGCGTCCCTGGGACAGCACCAGGGTGGCCTCCCCAGCACCTGTGACCTCTCCATGTCCCCCCGCAACCACCCCATTCCAGGGCTGGGGGGACCCTAGACCTCCCCTCCTGCTCCACTGGTCCTCGTGGGCTCAGGGGAGCCGGGGACTGGGGCTACCCGCTTGTGGGGCCGGAGCCCTCCACCACGGGGGTTTTGGCCATCACTGCCGATTTGGCCGTCACTGACTGGGACCTCTGCTGCCGGCCGGGATCTCAAAGCTCTCCTGCGCTCCAGCTCCTTTCCTCCCTTCAAATTTCCAAACCCATACGATGCCTTCACCCCTTTGAGGAAGAGGAGGAGGTCACCCAAAATCCCCAGGTCTCCATTGGTCTACCATGTTGGGTGGTCAGACTGGAAAGGGAAAAGGATTGTGCTCAGACTTTATTAGCCATCAGAGAAGCCACAGCTAGCTACCGAGCTGCCCCGTCTCTCTGTAACAGGGAAGGGGGGATTCATCCTGCCCTGGGGAGGAGGCGCAGGGTGGAGAGGTGCTCCGGTTGTCACTGTCCCCTTCCTTCCTTCCCTGCAGAGCTCCTACCCCATCTGGGAGGACTTCAACTCGAAGGCCACCAAGCTGCACTCCCAGCTCAGGTGAGTGGCCGAGGGTGGGACAGGGGACACCCCACCCCCCATCCCCGTCCCCCCCCAGGCACATCTCGGGGTGCCCAGCGCCTGCTGAGCTCCTCCCTTTGCTCTCTCCCTCCCAGGACCACGGTGCTGGCCGCAGTCGCCTTCCTGGATGCCTTCCAGAAAGTGGCCGACATGGCCACCAACACCCGAGGTAGGGTCCTCCCCACCCAGCGGGGGGTGTCCCCGTGCTTGGCCGGGCAGGGGGACAGCAGGCAAGTGTCCCCTGGGGGGTGTCCCCTGCCCAGGTGGCTTCAAGCCCCGGCTCTGCCATCCATGGAGACACGTCCAACGTGTCTCCACCATCCATGGAGACACGTCCAATGTGTCTCTGCCATCCATGGAGGCACGTCCAACGTGCCTCCG